ACCCAGGCGCCCAAGATACATTCATTCATTCATTCATTCATTCAGAGACAGAGACAGACAGAGCACAAGCGGGGGATGGGCAGAGAGAGGAGACACAGAATCTGAAGCAGGCTCCAGGCTCCGAGCTGTCAGCACAGAGCCTGAAGCAGGGCTTGAACTCAGGAGAGCTGTGAGATCATCACCGGAGCCGAAGATGGATGCTTATCGGATGGAGCCACCCAGGCGCCACTGGAACCGTATGTTCAGATGAAATCTCTCTTGGAATCTTGATATAAATAAAACAGATTTTTTTTAAAAAGGTCATTTTATCAGCATTCCTTTATTTTAGAAGTTCACATAGGTCATCTTATAACACCTATTAAAATGGCATTCAGCACGGACGTTCTGACGACACATATCAGAAATCTGGGGTACGAGGGAACAGTTGACAAACTTATCAACCTCAGCATTTGATTCTGCCTCTTGTTCTGATTGCACAGAATCAGTAAAATTGTGATTCAAACAGAAAATACCTTAGCATCTTAACCACTGCTCATATCTCCATAATAAATATAGACAACACACATCTAAAATCTATAATAATCACATCCGACATGCTATCTTTGCACCTGTTACCACAGAAGCTGACATGCAACTGAGCCTTGCCTGTCCTCTCGGAGCACCATACGTATGTGGTGCCAGACCCTCTGTACAATTTTATATGGCAAATTCACAGGGGTAAATTTAAATACATAAATACTAGTGCAGAACTACATCCTTCCTAGTCTATGACACACTTAGGAAACATTAACGAGGCACAGAAATGACAAAGGATTTAGACCGAGAAGAACACAATGAGTTACTTGGCAGCGTGAGGAAGGGATTGATTAACGTCCATCACGGAGTCCAATGACTGTTCTACCTTCATGCTTCATGCTTGAGGCCGGCTGTCTCTTCCTGGTTTCCTAAGATTCAGGAGAAATGCCTTTTTAACCCTGCCTGGAGAAGGGCCTCCTCCTCCTCAGCTGCCTCTTCATCCTTTATCAGTGCCAGTAATTCCAAAAAGCCAGGGGCGGGGCCTTCCTTTGGCACGGGAAGCTTCCTGCGAAGCGTTCTGTGGATTGCTCCGGCAAAGATTTGGTCTAGGCGGGCCTGATTCACAACATCTTTCTCGATTGCTCCTCTCTCTACCAGCTTCTGTAATAAAGGCTCCAACCTTAACACGTAAGCAGACAGTTTTTCTTCATCCTTCTGATAAGTGGTCAGATATCTGACCTGCAATTCCCTAGGATTGTCGATAACCCCAAAAACCTGCTCAAGGGCCCGCAGGCATTCAGCGACTGTAATGGAAGGATTGTTTATCTTAAGGACTCGAATAACATCAAATGCTGGGCCTCTAAGGCTCTCTAGCAATCGCCTTCTTTTCTCTGCATCTGACACCTGCCATGTCTTCATCATCTGAGTGGTATGAAACAGCCAAGATTCAAATTCTTCTTCTCCTGGTTCTGGAGGATCGCTGCCTGAGAACACTCTCAGCTTTTTGTATTTCAGGTATTGCAGGGCAGGCTGAAGAGCCTCATCTAAGGCCTGTGCCAACATAGGGGCCTGTATTTCTGGGATCCTGTCCTGGTCTAGGTCGGAACGGTCGTTTCCATATCCAAGAGCTCTGGTCAACTCACCCAGTGTTGTACCCTCTCCCTCTAAGAATTCGTTTAACCTGCTTAAAAATTCATTATCCGGGTCCGGAGGCTTAAAGATCACTCTCCAGACACCCCCTTTTCCAGGGATCTCCTTAGGGACCAGAGCATGACTAGTCTCCTCGGTTAGCCCTACTAAGGCTACATTCCAGTTCTCCACCCGCCGGAACATCCTCCCCAGCAGTGAGTACTCGCCCAAGGGCGCTAAACCAGCCCGCAGAGCCTCCTCGATTTCCGCCACAGTGCAGGTCGGGGGGATGCCGGCAATCAACAGCGCTTTCCGAGGGTTCACATCCATCCCCCTGCACCAGTCTTCTAAAAGTCTCAGCGTCATGGTGCTCAAAACAACGGATTTAAATTCTAATTTGGCCGGGGTACTGATGCCCCCGCAATTCACGGCGTTTCTCTGCGGTACCCCAGGTAAGTGCCTGGGGGTCAACGTCCCGACCGGCGGCCTACGAGGACAAAGCAGTCAGGTTAGCTGCAGGTGTCAGTGGCCCCGGCCCCGAGAGGCCCCGCACCGGTTCCACTGCAACAGGCG